GGGTGGGTTGCTGTTAAGGAACTTAAATTAAGTTACCCTAACGGGTATATATAGTAAATAATAGGGTTTCCCCAATATAGTAACTTAATTTAAGTTCCTTAACAGCAACCCAGTTAAGGTTCCTAAGATTTAAGGTTTAGGTTTAGGATTTAGGGTTTAGGTTTTAGGGTTTAGGATTGAGGATTTAGGGTTTAGGTTTTAGGGTTTAGGATTTAGGTTTTAGGATAGATAGTTTAGGGTTTAGGAGCTCAATAATGGAGAATCGAACGGAAAAGAACATGGCAAAGAACATGGAACATGAAACGGAAACCGGGGCTTTTTTTGGAGGTATTGAATTTTTCCTTTGCTTAGCAGGGAATCAAGGCATGCAAGCTAGTGCAATATTAGAGATGTATAGGCACGACCATAAGCATTGATTCCTGTGCTCCTTACCAGAGGTAAGCTTAGGGTAGGAGGGTTTGTAGGGTTCAGGCTTTAGGGCTTTCACTAGGGCTTAAGGATCAGTGGTTTGATGTTTAGGGTTTGGGATGCTTCCCAAGTGGTTCCTTCCTTCCTTCCTGTTAGGATGAAAGTGCTGGTTCATAAGGGGTTTAGGGATTTAGGGTTTAGGGAGTAGGGTTTAGGGTTTTAGGGGTTTAGGGTTTAGGGAGTAGGGTTTAGGGGTTTAGGGGTTTAGGGTTTAGGGTTTAGGGAGAGCCATATCTGGATTTTTCAAGATTGTAGCCTGCTCTCGAGGGGTCACGGGGATCATACTAGTTCCAGAAGGTTTTCCTTTCAGGTGGTTATTGTCAGATGTCCTTGTGAATAATTGATAGGCATCTAATCTGCATGTCTTTTCGTGTGTTTACTTGATGTTGGGAGAGAGCATATGCGTCGCAAGACTGGTGGTGGTACAGTTAATATTAATGATCCTGCATGACCGTAGTAATCGATAAGACCATGCTTCCCTAGGTAAAGTGTACATGGGGTCGTGCAGGATTTTAGTGTCAACCGCATTGGTACTGGGCTGAACCTATGATCTCTGAGGCCTCAGCTTGCGCCCCGGTGCGCCTTTCAAAAAGGGCTGACAAGGGGATCATAAGGGATATGTAAGGCGAGTGATGGGGGTTGTAATCTCGAGTGGAAAGATCTACATGTCCAAAAGTAAGCCAAGCCCAGAGAAGTTCATCACAACCACAAACCCTAAACCCAAAACCCCAAACTCTAAACCCCAAATCCTAAACCCCATGTTCATGTGTGCAGGATGTGGCTGGGGCCAGGGTTGACCAGATACTTTATTTTACGCCTGCCCACCGACGCTGTATACCCCCTATAGACCCCTAATGCATGTAATTCCCAGAAGTCTGGCTCCTGAAGCTGTCCCTTGTTGAGGGATGAAGATCTTACATCCCAGAACCTCAAGTCCAGACCTGAAATCCGAAGCCCTCAATCGTTCTTAGACCTAGCCCCTAAAACCCCCTAGAGGCACAATCAATCCTAAACCCTATACCCTAAACCCTAAATCCTAAACCCTAAACCCGAAATCCTAAACCCCAAATAAACTTCTGATCTCGAAGCCCCTAAGCAGGCAGCAGGCAGCGTCCTTGCACGTGTGGGCCACCTGGAGGAGATCAGGGCTTTCAGGGAGGCGAAGGGCTGCCTTTCCGAAAATGTTTAGGGTTAAGGGTTTAGTTTTTAGGGTTTAGAGTCTAGGGACGGTTTAGAGTATAGGGTTTAGAGTATAGGGTTTAGCGTATAGGGTTTAGAGTATAGGGTTTAGAGTTTAGGGTTTAGAGTATAGGGTTTAGCGTATAGGGTTTAGAGTGTAGGGTTCAGGGTTAAGGTCAGCTAAAGGTGGATTCCCCAGAGCCCTGTCTGGAGATCCCTGTGGTTATGTGGCCGAGTCTCCGAAGGCCCAGTTCAATTTTCAATTTTCTGAGTTTTGGGTGTGTCTTTTGACATGCACGTGTGGATCATATCAGAGATTGTACGACCTTTGCTGCTTTTTTTGGCAGTAGTCGATTCGAGTCTTGGGGCTTCATATTGAGTTTCGGAGTTTGAAGCGCGGTGTAGCGACTTTGGTTCAGGGTTTATGGCGCGGTGCCTTTCTTGGAACCTGGACGTTGTGAACGGTTTACCTAACATCACCGAAAGCCCTAAACCCTAAACTGGGTTGCTGTTAAGGAACGTAAATTAAGTTGCCATAATGGGTACATATACATATACATATAAATTCAATGGGTTTCCCCAATGTAGTAACTTAAGTTAAGTTCCTTAACAGCAAACCAATAAGCCCTAAACCTTACACAGGAGATATTGGAGGGCGAGACACGGCCCGCAGACCTTGGCCTCAACGGCCGGTCACAGGGTTTAGGGTTGATGGTTTGGAGTTTGGGGTTGAGGGTTTAGGGTTCAGGGTTTCGGGTTTAGGGTTCAGAGTTTGGGGGCTTGGGATATGAGGGTTGCATTGGGATGTAAGAGGATGTTTCTGCAGGGAGTACCTCAGATTATATAGGGATACGCAGAGTTTAGGCCTTTCGTTTTTTGGGTCCTGGGACATGTAGGGCTTAGGGCTTACAGAGACGATTTGGCAACTCTAGCCCAAAATATTTGAAAAGCAGACGGACACGAACTTGGACGCGGTTTAGCGCCTGGAGTTTTCTAGTAATTAGTTTCAGGTTAGAAGAGAGTTTTGGTAACCTCCACCTTACAATGAGGACCCTATACGAGTCTTCTGCCAGACTCAGTGCTGTTTTGGGGGATTTGGGTTAGGATACCAACGGTGGTTTTGGGTTTGGGGTTCGGAGGCAATGCAGGAATTGAAAGGAACTTGTAAATTTCGCATGAACCTGGTGTAGCTCCCAAGCTTATTGATTTTGTTTGATATATAAGTGGCCTCCCACTTGCGCGATAAGACTTTGCTTTTCTGTTAGTATTTCCTTCTTCCCGAGTGGTGATGGAAGGACTTCCGCAGAATAATTCTTTTCAGACAGTTTACGGTCTCGCCTTCTTTGTGAAGTTAACAGGGTTTTGGTAATGTAGCCCCCTCCCTATAATGGGGACTATAATTGGGATCTTAACATCAAAAAGCGGAGTTTATTCATCAGGGGTCTACATTATCAGGGATTAGAGTTTGGAATTCTGGCTCTCGGATTCAAGGCTGTAGGGTACTTATTTCCTCCTCCAACATCCGTTTAGGGTTTAGGGTTACTGTTGGTCTGGTGTCCTACTGTGCTGATGTCACGAGAGGGAGGGTCCCCAACATAAGGGTGACAGAGTACTTGGTCCCTGAGAAGATGAGATCCTGAACCCTAAAACCTAAACCCTCCTCTCTAAATCCTAAATCCCAAAGCCTAAATCCTTAACCTTAAACCCTAAGTCCTACACCCTAAATGCTACACCTTAAGCCCCAAATCCTAAACCCTAGATCCTAAACCTTAAGCCCTAACTCCTAAACCCTAAATCCTAAAACTGAAGCGCTCCGGTAATTCCTGGCAGGGAAGCCTTGAGCTCGCCGAAGCCTTAAGCTCCTAGGTCCTAGCTTTCAACCTTTATATGGGTAGTTGTCAAAATTATGGTTCCTTTTTGGGTACGCTGAATATTAGGTGCCGTATTATAATAGGGATCCAAAAGGGGCCCATAATTTTGACAACCTCCCATATAAGGATAATAAAGGGGTCATATGGGGCTTATATAGGGTTTGGGTTAGGGTTTTAGGCTTTAGGGTGGTTTAGGGTTTAGGCTCGGCACCCGGTATTCAGGGATCTCCCTCAAACCCTAAACCTTGAATCCAGATCTGCCAGCCTTAGCCCTGTGTCCTTACACTCAATTCCCACACCCTAAGCCCTTGCCCGCATATATCCCCATACAACCCTACATCACCCTACACAAGCATACATACATATATATATATACATATGGATATATGTATAGATATCCCCCCAAACCGATACCAGAACCCTAGATCGTGTTTACCTAAACCCCAATCCCTATACCCAAAGCCCTAAGCCGTAAACCCTACACAACCCCAATATACTACATAGTAGTTTCCATTTCCTTTTCCATTATCCCTATATTTCCCCAATAATCTACCCTATAACCCCTATATAAACCCTATATAACCCATTTCATTTTCTTTTCCATTGTTATTACCCCTACAAAAAACCAGGTAGCTCAAGCCTGGAGCCCTAAACCCTAAACCCTAAATCCCTAAACCCTAATCCCTAAACCCTACATCCTTAAACCCTAAATCCCTAAACCCTAATCCCTAAATCCTAAATCCCTAAACCCCCTGAACCCTAAACCCTAAATGAAAGGCCGTCTGATCAACTTAGAGCTTCTCGTCTTCGGGATAGACGAGGAGGCTCCTGAGATCCCCGCGGCTAGGCCTATACTCTTGGTGTAAACAGGGCTTTTATTGGGGTTATATTAGGGTTATATAGGGATTATATAGGTATTATATAGGGGTTTAGGGTTTAGGGTTTAGGATTTAGGGTTTAGGGTCTAGGGTTCAGGGTTTAGGGTTTAGGGTTTTAAGGTTTAGGGTTTAGGGTTCAGGGCTTAGGGCTTAGGACTTTGGGTTTTGAGGGTTTAGGCTTTAGGACTTTGGGTTTTGGGTTTAGTGTCTGGGGCTTTGGGTTTAGGGCTTAGGGTTTAGGGTCGATCGTTGGGTACCTGGAGTTTGGTAATAGTAGGTGTAGGAAGGGTTTTGGGGAAGTATCTGATTATTGGGTATTTGACACTGACGTGAAGATCCAGTTTAACATTTACATTTTCCTAAACTCCAACAAGTGTGTACCATAATCATATCTAACCCTACACCCTACACACAAAGCCCTAAACTCTAAACCCTAAATAGGATCTTTAAGTAAACCTCCAGCTACATGGTGTAGTAAGTAAGGTCTAAGGTTACAATGCAGGATTCCGGGCTGGAGTGTGGAGCTTGGCGGGTTGGCACGTGCTGGTTGGAGCCACGTAGGCCAGACTTTGACAAAGTATAGTAGTCCTTCATAAAGTTAGTTCTTGTTCTTATTATGGGTTAAGGGTTTAGGGTTGTCATCCACCTAGCCAAGATGTTGAGGCAATCAGGTTGCAGACAGGTCTGGAAAGAGTTGCGGATGAGGAGCCGCAAGTGAGATGCAGGGCGATTGCCGTGCTCAAGCTTTGGCCTCCGGGCATAATGCCGGCCATGCCACCTTTCACTACCAGTACTTCATCTCGTTGACCTTTGGAGTCCGCCCAAATTGCACCCGAACAATTCTTAATGTAATCAGATACTCTGACCTCTACCCCGTCTTTGCTGAAACATTCCTGGTACCCCTTAAACCACTGTTGACAGTTCTTGCTGTGTGTCTCGTGTTCCCCAAGCCTCTGGCCGAGGCCCCAAACTCAAAACCGATTATCCCAAACCCTAACTTGGAAGCCCACACCCTAAACACCAAACTCCAGACTCAATGTCAAAAACCTCAAGCTAAATACGTCTCATCTGGTTCCCGGAGCCACATACCTTAAAACCCCAATCCTCGAGCCCTCACCCTCTGTATCCTTAGTGCTCCGGTAAGGGCCCAAAATTCAAACCTACACGCACCGACTTCTACTCTGCTTTGACTACAGTGACTACAACACGCACAGAAAAGCGAACAGGCCAGGTATCATTAGTGTTCCCCAATATACATACCTGGGAAACAGGATTTGCCGAAAGCACACATCACTGCTACAGAGATGAACAACCAGAAGCACCTAAGGGAGTGCCGACGGTGCTTGCGTGAGCTTGAAGTGAATACTGTAGCAGCCTATAGAATCTTTTAAGGCTATATAGGGGATCTATGGAGGATATAGAGTGGATATATAGGGAGAATGGACAAGAAAATGGAAGCTACTACTTAGGGTAGCAATATCTGGGTCCTCCATTCCTTGTATAGCTATGGCATAGGGTACCTCAGATAAATTTCAATATGTTGCTCACAATTCTCTAGGGCCCGAAAGCCTAACCCTAAACCCTACATATCCCCTACAACCCGAAAAGTAACCTTAATATTTGTAATTCTGTTGGCCGTTACATTACGTTAACCCATAGTCCTAGCCACAGCGTGCAGACATTCAAAGGGCCAAGGCCAGCAAAACAACGCCAAAACAGAACCCTGAACCCCAAACCCTAAAGCTAAACCCGAAAGCCCTTATTATATCCTGAACCCGCCAGCCCTACTGTAAATAGCCAACCCATACACATAAACGCAAAACCCTAAAACCAACCCCCAAACCCTAATCCCAAAACCTGACATCCTGAACCCTACATCCTAAACTCTAGACCTCAAAATCCAAACACTAAACCCTAAACCCTAAACCCTAAACCCTAAACCTTAAAACCCTAAACCCTAATGACCCTAAATCCTAAATACTAAACCCTTTACCCTAAACCCTAAACCCTAATCCCTAAACCTTAAATCCTAAACCTTAAACCCCTAAACCCTCCCCTAAGGAGGCGGAACTCGAGAAGGAGGCCGTGCTGCGGGAGCGGCCTGCTGAGCCGTCGGGCCCGCCACCCAAGAAGTGCCGAGCCCAGGGAGGAATTGGGCTTAGGGGTTTAGGGTTTAGGGTTTAGGATTTAGGGTTTAGGGTTTTAGGGTTTAGGGTATAGGGTTTAGAGTTTAAGGGTTTAGAGTTTAAGGTATCGGGTTTAAGGTTTAGGGTTTAAGGCTCAAGGTTGTGGGTTCAGGGTTTAGGGTTTGAGGAATATACAAGGGGTGTTGCATGAGACTTATACGGGGGTTATACAAGGCTTATGGTCAAGGGCCTACATGTTTTCCTCACGGGGGATGAAGGTTCGGACTCCAAGCCCGAAGCCCCTAAACCCTAAACCCCAAACCCCAAATACACGGGTAGGTTTGAACATGATTTGTAATTACTTCTGACGGAGATTCAATAAGTACTTCATTTGGAAGTTAGGAGTCTGTGTTCGGGAGTCCGCGTAATGAGGATTATAGTGTTTTGGGGTGTATAAGGGTCCCCCTGATTTTTGGAAATAGCCATCTGGTCAAGGACAGGCACATTTCGCACCGTCTTTTGTATAGCTTAGTTTGGACGTTGCTGCTTGCTTTCACAGGGGCTCTTGTGGTAGGCTTAAGGTACAGTTCGGCCTAAATACGGCAAGTTTTTTGGTTCATGGCCCAATGCCGCCAGCCCTATTGACCTGAACTATGCAGGATGAACCCGTGTCATAATGGCGTCGGCTGTCTGATGCTTACATGATGGGCTCCCACAGAGGACCCTGATATTGACAACCGCCTTGTCCGCAGACGTTGCAAGGACTGCGCAGAACAACGGCGTTTCTGCTTTTCCTTTCCATTCCTTTATTCCTTACCCTAAGCCCGGAGCCCTTAACTCTACAGTGGCAAACACTTTCTTCCACCAGCAAGTTAGCTATGGTAGATGTGTCTTTTGCGAGAATCCGTCCAAAACCATTACTGTTCTTAGCCTCGAATAGGTCCAAAACCCTAAATCCTAAACCCGTCGTTACAAGGGTTCGCAACAGAGGGTTGTCGGCGCGGGCTTTGGGGCATAGTTTTTCGACTCCCAGCACCTTTTGCCTATGAACCTCGAGTTTCCATTTCATGTTTCATTCGACTTTTTCTTGCCAAAGCCCTAAGGCCAAAACCCGAAACAGTAGCTCCCGTTTAATTTTCCAGTTCATTTTTTCATTACACTTTCTGTTTGCCCGAAACCCTACATAGTGGCTTCCATCTCATTTTCCCCTTTCTTATCAATTTGATTTTCCAGTTTCCACTAAGAACCGGTAAGCCAAGAAGTGTCCCAGGCAGAAGCCAGCACCGGCACCTTCGCGCAAAACTCCCACCACACCCATCGGGCGAGGTACTTCTTCGGGAGGTTCCTTGAGCCTGAGCAGTCTGACAAGGTTGAAAAAGTCCTAGGGAGGTACTGTGCATGGAGAAGATCTTGCACTGCGTCATGTACCCTATACCCATAAGAATTACAGCATTTTTGGGGTCTGTTTGGGGAAGCTAACATGGAAGCCCTAAAGGGCTGCCAAAGACTACTAGGTCCTTCAACCCAAAAATTTCCCTAAACCCTAAACCCGAAACGTTTACGGGTTTCCATCTTAGCTTAGGCCAGACTAAGCACGTGGGAATTTGGAGGTGAGTATGAAGTATACTATAAAGGATTTGGGGTTTAGGATTTAGCGTTTGTTTCGGATTTAGGGTTCAGGGTTTACGTATATTAGGGGTTTAGGGTGGGTTGATAGATGGAAAAGAAAATGGAACTTCCTATGCAATTTAGGGTGTAGGGTCCAGGGTTTTATGGACTTTTACAGTTTCATGTTTCATGTAGGTGTCTACAGTTATACATCTCAAGGGTATCACTCGACGAGACTCCCCCATCGACTGTGTTAAAATCGCGCTGCAAGGGCCATTTACAAGATCATACAGCTTCGAAGCCGTTACTTGCACAATATGGAGTTTATGTTTTGGGAGTCTCGACAGTACGAGCTATGGGTTTTTTTGGTCGTTTATGGCGGTCCGGACGCCGTTTTGCATGAGGAAGATCCTGCATGATTGTATAGACTGGAATCCAGAGTGTCCTGTAATCACCTCTCCGTAATAATAAACCCCGCACCCACCTGTACCACGAATATTCCCCCCTTAGGGTTGTTTCAAGCCCTAACCCCCAAATGGCATGGTAGTTTCCACTTTCTTTTCCATTCCCGCTGGATATCAATATACTTAACTACTAGGGCGAGGGGATTAGTATGAGTCAGCCACAAGTTTTCCATCAACGTTTTCGCAGGTTTTGCTGATCTTCATCTTCAACACCTGCGTAGTTCCTGAGCTCTGGGTATTGCTGGAACTAACTTTCAAATATTCTGGGCCGAAGTCTCCATGTACAGTCAACAATGCAAGATAGGGCCTCTGAATCTATAGTCCCCCTTATACAGGCTCCCCATATATCCCATATTCTATCTACTTAACGGGGACTATATCCCAGAGCAATCTTCCCTAATAAGTTTGAAGCCGGGAGCTCCGCTTTCCTCCAGAGGAACAGTCCATGTAGGTCCCCTTGCAGGGTTCCACGTTAGTTTGGGGGAGGGTACATACTTGGAGAGTCAGGGGGACTTAGTAAGTAGGTTAATAATGTAGATAATTGGGGTTATGATATGGATTATGGGGGTTATTGATGTACTTACCAAGTTAAATCCCCCTGACCCTCCAAGTCGAGCCTATACCCGACACCTTGCGCGGCACAGGTGGAGCAGACATGGAATCTTTCATTCACAGCTTTGGCCTAAACGCAGATGCCGCGCGGACGTTGCGTGAGCTGCCTCCGGAGACGGGTTGGGGGTTCAGCATCTGGGCCTAGGGGGTTTGGGCTCAGGGGAGTTTAGGGGTGGGACTTTCAGGGTTGCTTACTCTCATACAGAATAATATTACCAATAGTACTAATAATAATAATACCAATAGTAATAATACCAATAATAGTAGTAATAATAATAGTAATAATAGTAGTAATGCCCAGCAGGTTGTTTTTTGGAAGCTCTCCTCGCGCACCGATTGGAAGACAGCTATTGACGAGCTCCATGAACACAAAGTACCCATACGGCACATCCCAAAACACAGCTCCCAAGCCCCAAGGGTTTAGGGTTTAGGGTTTAAGGGTTTAGGGTTTAGGGTTTAAGGGTTTAGGGTTTAGGGTTTAGGCTAAACCTTATTTTACCACAAGCATTCGGGGATCTATACTCATCCCTTCATATGCATGCAAGATATTGAGATTCTCATTTCAGGGACTCGCCCAAAAATGGACTTAATGTTAAGCAGGGGTTTCCCAAACCAACGGGAAATTTTTGTGAATCCCTATAATAAAGAGTAACGTATTTTGGGGTCTATACTGGGGTCCTCCTATTTATTGGAACCTTAAATCCTAACTCCTAAGCCTAAACCACCTAAGAAATCCCAAGCCCTATCCGCTGCAGGAGAGCTTGAATCATGTGATGGACACTTTTGCGCCTAAACCGGACACCAAGGACCCAAGCGTCTCGGGGTTGAGGAGAATTGAGGAATGGACAAGAACAAGGAAACTACTGTTTAAAGTTCAGGGGTTAGGGTTTAGGGTTCAGGTATGGAAAAGCAAGCGGGTTTATGGTAGGGAATGGAGGACTAGATCCCTATGGTTGTCCTTATGTAATCCAAAACTTGCATCCCTTAGGTGGACCCCCCACCCTGTAATAGTGGTATTATAAGAATATACGACGACCCTAATAGAATCAATATTATCTTTTATAATTACTATTCCAGGGTGGGGGGTCCACCTAAGGAATATATGAAACCCTAAACCCTAAACCCTAAACCCTAAACCGCATATAGTTGTTACTGTTATCCCGTATTTTCACTATTACTGGGTGGGGGGGTCCACCTAAAGCATCCCTAGAGCCTACAACCTCTTACTGAAGTCCCGACGGCCTACCCACTACTGTGAGGTCCGGGTTTCAGATTTTTTCATGGAAGGAACCCCTGAACCCTAAATTGAGTAGTCCAAGGGTGTGGAGCCTGCGCAGTAGAGTTCCGTGCTATTTAGGCTTATTTGGTAGTTTCCCTAAAGAAGGGGACCCCACTATAGACCCAAATAGTATAGTCCTTATTAATGGGATCCCTAAAATGGTACCCCTAATTTTGAGAAACTCCCATCTAGCTTAAACTTAGGATCCAAGGTGTATCAAGGGTCTAAGGTCTTAGGAGGGAACCGCTAATACAAGGGATCCCTAATCCCATTGCTTTATATTACCCCTAAACCCTAAAGGCTACATAGACAGTCCCCATTGTCTGCAATGAGCTGCAGGCCCCATTGAGAGTCCCCCCTACAATTCCTAGAGTTTAGGATTGCGGGTTAAGGACTGGGTAGGCCCCTGGGATATTTGATACTTTCCCTAATGGCTTTAATAAGGGACCCTATATACTAATATTTTTCAAAAGGTTTTAGGGGCCAACCCAGAGGCTTAAGGTCCAAGGCCAGAGAATCGCAACAAATGTGCTTCCACACCATCTACCCGCCTGAAGGATGTGAGTGCCTTGTTTATCAAATTCGCCAGAGGTGCCTACTTCAAGCTGAATCTCGCCGAAGGTTGAGGTCTTGAAGGGTTTAGGAGCAGAGGCCACGAGAAGTCAGTGTTAAGCTTGATTTTCACATTCGGTGCTTTTAGAGTGCCGCGCCGCGAACCGTATTGATGTCGTCTTCGTATTGCATACGTTAAGAACACCGCGGGGCAATGAATTTTCGGTCTCCAGAAATTGCCGACCATGCTACATATTAAGTTGAGAGGATATGAGCTACTGTCAATAACGGTCTTGTCTAGATGATGGGGAGTTAAACGGACAAGAAAATGGAAAATGGAGTGCATACTGGGATTATATACGGGTTTCTAGGCGTTGTCTTAATGTGGTTGGGGAAGCTTCCTGATGTATTTTCTCATTTCAAGTTGGACTATTGGGGACATCCCTGTTGCTTTCGGTTCTCCGGTTTGTGCTCCAAGCTTCACCCAACATGCCACACCTGAATACCTACTCTAAGGACTGGAAGACGGTTGGGCCAACCTTCGACAAAGGAGGCAAGGCATGATTTGGCATAATGTGGATAGGTTTCAGGGTTTAGGAAGGATGACTGAGGATTCCGAGTGGTTCTAGTGATGCTGGTAGTTCTGCTCATGAATCTTGCGTGTGGTGTATGAGCTGACTTTGTTTATATCATATACGGTTGCATATTATTAGCATGATTACGCAGCATTACATCCTGTATTAGACGAGGCCGATGAACGGGAGGCTCTGACGGAGAGCCTCCTTGACTGCGAGACCGACGTAGTGGCGCGCCACTACTCTTTGCCCTGGTCTGGGTTGGTGACGGACGACTTCTGCAATGAGGTGGTCCAGGAGCTGCTGCGCTACGAGGAGAAGCGCATCCTCACTGTCTCGGAAGGCGCCTCGCAACCGGAGTGCGCTCACAAAGGCCTCACTTTGAGAGCCCAAGTGGCACTCAGCCGTCCCGGCGCAGACTATCCACCTGAGCGCATCTGGCGCGTGCAGCGGCTGATACAGAGGAAATCTGCAGACTTCTACGTGCATTGCTGCGCCGACTTGCGTTGGCACTGCCACAGAGTCAACTTCTGCTTGACGAACGGCGAACGATTGTCGGAGGAGGCCTTTCAATCATGTGCCGAGAAATGGCGGCAGCATACAGTGCGTGCGGCTTTGGAGTGGGACTTCAAGATCAAGCTGCCTCTACAAGTTACCACGGAGGTGCCGTATGACGTGCTCTATTCTGATGAACAAGGTCGCAGTCGTGCCTTCAAACCGGCCCCTGGCAGCAAGACTCGTCAGGAGCACATGAAGACCGACACGGCAGAGAGCAGGTCGCAGCATTGCAAAGTGGAACAGCAGGACATGCATGCCGGCTTCTGGATCATGGCTCTCTTGCACGAACGCCTGACTGCCCGGTTCAAAGAGCTCAAAGGCTGTTTGCCAACAAGCAGCGACAAGAACGTGGCCAGGAACTGGTCTAAGTTTGCTGGAAAACATGGTGCAGTTTTTGCCCATCCAACATATGACAACTTGAAGTGCTTGAGCGAGAACCGAAGGCACGTGGAGTGGCCCTTGCAATTTATGGAACACTCGTTGCCTATGTGCAGATGAAAAGTGAGCCAAAGCCACGGACGAGATGTTTCGACGTTTAAAGGCTTGCATCAGTCGGAGCTAGATATCCAAGAGCAGTGCGTGGGAGTTGCCCATGCGGCTTCATTTGCGCTCCCTCGCTCGGCTTTTCTACAGAACCTCAGTTTTGTGAGCTGCCAAAGCTGCACGACCCGTGATGGGAGGGCTGCGTTGGCGGGATCGCCGTAAAGCAGAGGGTGAACTGCTAAAGCTGCCCGACCCGCGATGGGAGGGCTGCGTTGGCGGGATCACTGTGAGGCAAAGGGTGAAGTGCCAAAGGTGCACGACCCGGGATGGGAAGGCTGCGCCGGCGTGATCACTGTAGACCAACGCAACAGAAACAGCTGCAGAAAAAGTTTTCGCGTTTGCGGCGCCAGACGAGTAAATCTGCGACAATCCTCCCAACCATGGGCGGCGTTGGCTAAAGAACTCTGAGGCTGTCGCACCTTTCGAGCTGTCGCTGCGCGGCGCACGCATGCTAGAGCAAGCTCAAGAGGCCATGGAAAAGTCCTGCAAACTGGGCCGTCGATGGAAGATTTGTCATCAGCTCGCCTGCGCAAAGCTAAAAGCAAGTCCACAACAACTGGGGTCTAGAACGCGCATCCGCAAGACATGCCAACAAAATCCCAGAGCGCCGGGTGACTGAACTCAGGTGTGTGTGTCTGCGTGAGCCGAAAAAGTAGGAAAAAGTAGGAATGATCATATTTGAGAAGGTTCTTTTGTGACACTAAACACTAGGTTTCTACCTGTGCCCCTGTCTACCAGGAACTCCATGTAGCACGAAGGGCCATCATTCTTAGATGCTCCCGATTATTGGATGCGATGTTGCGTTGATCTTATTACAAACATCCATAGTTGCCAGAAGTGCCACGATTGTACTCATGCACTTTTCAAACATGCCACGTTTTGGCAACATACATGCTCCCCTTGGCCGGGTTATAGGAGGCCTCCCAGGTGGACCCACAACAAGTGTATAGCATTTTTTGATGTGTAGGTGGGGGATGGGCTTTGTACAGACCAAGATTTAATCTGTTCAGAAAGTCAGCTCGATGTGTCTTATTGAGATTCCTTACCTAGGCTCGTTTTGATAGTCATATCGTGTATCCAGCTCCTTCCCATCCCAGACTTGCATCTTAAATTCGAAGCTTGCGTCTTATCTTCAACCTGTAAGCCCTGCACCTTCAACCCTAAACTTCGCGACAGGAAACTGGACCTTGGAATGCCATCGACGACTTCGCGTTCAGGTGGGCAACAAAAGCACAAAAGAAAGCAGAACGACTGTTGCAAGTTCTTTATTTTCTTTACCCCGGCAACAGACTGACGCGAACTAGGCAGGGGAAAACCATTAAGCTATAATTAAGTACCATTCCACTGTTAGCTATAGTTACGATCACCTATAACAGTAACGTTTCGTGGTATGTTTGCTTAGGATACGCAAGCTCGCAGTGAGAGTAAATCCACTTCAGCTTCCTGGTGGACAATCCTTCCGAATTGTCCCCGTATTCCACTCCTTCATTGCTAGAATTGAGTAAGCCGTGGGCAAAAGAACCCGACCATAAACCCAAGCATTAAACCTACATCTTAAACCCAAACCCTACAGCGTAAACTATACAAATCCACATTGCTCTTCAAATTCTCGTTATGAAATTGGTGGGTACACCCTTTTCAAAAAGGCTAAAAGAAGAATAAAGGGAAACATGCCCGCAGACGCAATGAATACCGTGTATATATGAATGTATATATATATATGTATATGAGCATGCATTTATATATGTTCTACCATGCTTCATTTGTCTCGACCTCCCTCGCACCAGTTTTTGTATCACACCCCCATGGCTGCACGTCCCGTGGCTGCGTGTTGGCATGCCATCCTGTGTAATCCCCCACATGACCCTTACGTCCTCACATAATCCTCATATAGTCCCTAGATAATCTTCATATAATCCTCACACAATCCTAGTCCCTGTATTCCCCTCATTTTTTGCTCACATGATCCCCGTATGATCCTCATGTAATCCATAAACCTTATGTAATCCCTACATAATCCTAAGAAAATCTCAGATTCTCCACAAATAATCTTGAGATGACTTTCACATAATCCCTATATAATCCTTATTTAGCCTTTGACATAATCCCTATATAATCCCTACATTACCTTCATATAATCCCTACATGCTCCCTATATACTCCTCATATAATCCCCAGATATTCCTCACATAGGCCTCCCGGAAGACTGCCACGGCACGTTGTACCAAGCACTGGTGCGAGGGAGGTGTAGAGTAAAACACATGAACAATGATGCATGGTAGCACACAAACAAAAACAT